TTCAGGTCGTCACTAGGCTTCAGGTCTTCAAGGCTTCAGGTCGTCACCAGGCTTCAGGTCGTCACCAGGCTTCAGGTCTTCAAGGCTTCAGATCGTCACTAGGCTTCAGGTCTTCAAGGCTTCAGGTCGTCACCAGGCTTGAGGTCTTCAAGGCTTCAGGTCGTCGCCAGGCTTCAGGTCGTCACCAGGCTTCAGGTCTTCAAGGCTTCAGGTCGCGCCAGTGAAGCGGAAGCCAAGCAAAATAAAAAGAAGAGAACTTTTGGAAAAACCAGCAGGTCACCTCTACCCGGCGGTCCGAGACGTTGCCGGTCGGTGGTGATTCTATGTGGCACATTTGTCGATGTGGTGTGTTGCCGCATCGTCGGAGGCCGCATCGTCGAATAGACGGACACCGTTTGCAAAGCGGCTCCAGAAGAAACGACGCTGGAAGCTCCGTCGTCGTCACATGCTTCGTGCACAAGTCCCTACAGCAGTGGCACAACTGTCTGAACGGGACCGAAGTGCTTTTGAGGGTGAGCAAGGACAAGCGGCAGCAGCAGACAACTCAGAACAAGACCGAAGTGTTTTGAAGGGTGAGCAAGGACAAGCGGCAGTAGCACACAACTCAGAACAAGACCGAAGAAGATGTGTGGCAGGTGAGCAAGGACATGCCAGCACGGGCCCGGAGGCCCACACAACACAGCAAGCATACAAACCATACAGCCCAACCAACCAAGACCCTCTACGAGGGGGTGGCGGCAAAGGCGGAAGTAAAGCTACCGCCCGACAACGGGAAGACAAGTTGCTCCAAGGCCTTAGTGAGCTGTTACGCCAGTTCACTCCCAATGAACCATCGGCACCCCATGCTTCCCAGCCCCGGCATCCCGACCAGCGGCCAGACCAGAATCCCCGTGGCCCACCCCCTGGCAAAGGCAACCAGAGCTCACATCCCAAGCAAGCAAGCAAACACCATACACTTTTCCAGGCCTTGGAAACACTGGTACAACGTTACAGATCCAAGCCAACAGGCAACCTGTTGCAACGTTTGCAAAGCTTGGTTCACTCAGCACAGGCTGGCAACCTGGCCAATGACACAGGCATCACGGACACTTCTTCCATCACTACATCACCAACCCTGCTGCACACCAAGGGCAAAGGCCAAGGAACCAGCAAAGGCAAAAGCAAAGCCACAGGCAAGGCTACCACCACAACACACCCAGCCACTGGATCCGCAGGCCCCTCCTCCGGCACTACATCCACTCCCGACAAGCCGAGCGAGTCTTCTTGGGTTACGGTTGTTTAAAAAGGCCGAAACCACTCCAGCTCCGTCGCCTCCCAATCCAGATTCCAATACTGACCAGGATGAGCTCATGGAATCAGCAGACAGCAAAGGCAAACATCATCTGTCACTTGATAAAAAGGACCACAAGGCCAAAAAGAAAGTTCGCTTTGATCTTCTCCAAGGGTTCCCAACTCTCGACGGCGGAGGTGATGGTGCCTGTGGATACAATTCACTTGCGGCAGCCTACTTCATGGTGCATAATCCTGGGGCTGACCGCCCATCCAAAGAGCAGTGTATTACGATGGGTCGCACCCTGCGACAACAAATCAAGGCCCACATCGCCAAGCACCGTAGCAGGATTCGTTATTGACCCGGCCTGGACTCCGATCACCGAAGGTGGAGCACCTGCCACCGACTTCGATTCTTGGCCCCAATCTCTTCTTCGCGATAAGCGATGGATTTGTCACACCACTCTCAAAGCGGCAGCCACCCGGCTTGGTTGTCACATTACTGTCTTACTTGACAGTGACACCGGATGCACTCCTATCCAACTGCAGTGTGCCAATACCGCCGCCAAAGTTTTGGTCCTCTACTTGAAAGATCAACGCTACCAAGCGGTGATCCCAAACCCGGCCCGCTCTTGGCCCCTGGAATGGACCGCCGATGTTGACACTCTCTCCCAAATACCCCGTGCTGGGGTCGCTTCGAAGTCCTCTTCCAAACGTGACACACCTCGCATTGACAAATCTTCGATGGACACTTCTGCGTGGTTCCCTCCCAGCACTCCTTCCAAAAGCCCAAATCCCTTTCCTGCTCACACTCCAAGAGCAACCAGCTCTAGTTCCAAGAAGCAGCACCTCTTCGAGACACCAGCACGCAGCAGCAGCACAAGCAGCCGCAGCAGCACACCCCGGCACCCCCATGCACGCGGGACCCCCTGCCCGCTACCCCTGGTGGTTTGGGGACCCATGTCGGTTCGACCTCTGGTGTCGCCCAGGGTAGCGTGGCGGGCCCCACTCCGCGCGCCCACAAAAGCAGCGCGGCGTCACCCCACAGCAGCAAAGCATCCAGCAGCAAAGCGGCCACACACCGGCCCAGCAAGTTGAGCACTCCTCACTGGTTTCCATCCAACACGCCACAAGCCAGCTCGCAGAAACGTCCTAGGTTGAACATACCGGATTCTACTCCTGTGCAACCACCTCCAAAACGAGCAAAAAGCACATCTACTCCAAACGTTGCTCGGCCTGCCCGTCCAAAAGTGCGCAGCAAGCTCCACCAACCAGCCGTTGTCACGGATTCATCCTGGAATTGGACCTGCCCACACACTGTTCGGTTCACTTGACTGGTACGAGCAGTCAGCAAACCTCCTGGAAGAGGACTTCCCACATGATGTTTCGCCATCGTGACATCCCACTGAACGAGCGAGCCACGCGCATCAATCGCACACCCATCATCGAAGCCAGCCATGACCTCCCTGAGGACCAACGTGACTGGACCGGCCCATTCTTTTCTGCAAGCCTCCCTGCCTTCCAGAATTACCACCAAAAGAACAAGAATGTCCGGCATCATTATGATACCAAACACCCAAAAAGGGACACCTCCAACAGTGCTATCCAAACATACCGTCGACGCAACAGCAGCCGAAGCAAACGGCCAATTTGCACCCGAGACACAACCATTGCAAACCACAGTTTGGTGCAATTCACTCCCTTTTGGCAGCACTGGCCCTGGCTCGGCAAAAAGGGCAAACACAGGAAAGGGACATTATTTACCTGCACGTCATGCCTCCGCATTGCCAAGTACAGAGAGCCATCTTGGAAAACCAAACCCTGCCTTGGGTCCAAAGCCCCTTCTAGCACTCCGCACGAACACGCTGGAAGGGCATTTGCCGGCATGCCTCCAACATGAACATGCTCCTCCAAATTTGGAAGCTCAGCAAGGCCGAAGCTGATCTGCGATTTGACCAACTTGTGCAGCAGGGAGTGGCGCTTCAACCGGGCCCTTCACCAGAATCTGACCCTGGCTCCCATGCAACAAGCGCCGACATGGCAGGTGAAGAAGAGGATGATGACCCGGATCCGTTTCCTCCTCATCCAAAAAATCAGCTACGGCCCACCGCCAGACTCCTCTCCGTCAATGTCCGGGACGCTCCCGGACTCTGGCGCTTCCTCGCTCTGTTGCAGACTGACCGTCAGCTAGCTGACATCATTTGCCTCCAGGAGGTTTGTCTCCGGCCTTCCAAGTTCAGCACAGTTAAAGCCAAATTTGCAGATTTAAACTTCCATTCCTATTACAGCCTAGGCCGCAACGGTGCCAAAGCCACGGGTGGCGTACTGGTGGCCGCCCGCAACACCATCAGTCAAAAGCACTGTCAAAAGCTTGTGGCAAAGCATGAGCAGGATGACTTTCAACACATCCCTCCTCGAGCCCGCCTTTTAGATCCGGCTCTTTCTGCTTTACAGCATCTACTTCAAACCACGCAAGCAGCCGCTGGCCACCGTCCTTGGCTGGCGGTCGGTGACTACAACGCCACACCAGCAGAGCTTCTGTTCCAGCTGTTTGGCGGCCATCTGGTCCTCAAACAAACACGATGGCAGAACCACCAGGTTCATCGACCACATTCGGTCCAACCTTCTCGTCGGCTGCGCTAAGTTGGGTAGTCCTGAATACAAGATCAGCGATCACAAATGCCTGACGGTAACCATTCCAGTAAAATGGCAAGATGAAATCTCCCGGTGCACGCTTCACAAGGCACACCGCTGGACTCCCCCGCTGGACTCCCCCCTCCGGGACACACCCATTCTTCTTGGATGGCACACCTGACAACCACCTGGTCCACACTGGACCTTACTCCTCTCGCGTCAGCCATCCGCACAGCCAGCCTCTCCCTGCAACAGGACCACATTGATGCACTCTGGATTTGCTTCAATTCGATGTTGCACTTTTGTTCCAATCGGCAGCCAGCACCATGACTCCACCTTCCTGCACCAGTCTCCAGCCAACACTCCAGCGGTGGCAACAAGTGGCGGCGACAGCCACCCCCCAAGCCTTTACAGCCCCATGCCCACTGGGTATCTGCTCGCCCACGGCGCACACCGGCTGCCAGTTCTTGCGAAAGCAGAGCAACTCCCTCTCTAGCGCTTCACGGCTGATTGAGCTTCTGGACCTCCCAGCCCGCAATGCACAGCAGCAAGCTGAGGCAAACAATCTTTGCCACAAACTACACTTCCCGGCACTAGCTTCGACCAGCATCGGCGACTTTCGTCCATTACTCCAAGCTACAATTGACAATTTGCAGAAGACGCTGGCGCAGGAAGCGGAACAACAAAAACAAGCCAAGCTCCAGCAGTGGCAGCGCAACACGCAGTACGACGAACATAGTCGGTCCAAGTGGCTGCACCGCACCACCTTTTTGCAACGCCCCGCCATTAAACACGATGGCAACACCCTGCAGACAGATCAACCAGTCCTCCGGGCAATCCACAAGCACTGGACAGAACATTGGCAGGAGGCACACGCCACGCCGGCAATCCAGAAAATCAATCACACCACCGCCAATCTGCCCAGCTTTCCTAGTCTCCAAGACCGTCCATCTCCGGCCGAGTTTGCCAAGGCCCGCAAACGCCTTCGTGGGGCAGCTGGCCCTGATGGATGGATAGCAGAAGAACTGCAATGGTTGCCGGCGCCAATCGATGAGTGGTTTTGCAACATCAGCCACATTTGGGAGCAGGCTGGCCGAATTCCCACTGCTTTGCAGTTCAGCCGCCAAATCAATCTGATCAAACCAGCCAAGGTACACAACGGGACCACAACACCCAAGGACCTCCGTCCAATAAATGTCTACAGCTTGTTCTATCGTTGGTGGAGCAGTACATGTGCTCGAAGTGCCTTGATCACTTCATGGCGCACCCAGACACTTCCTCCTAGCATTGTCGGTGGCTTGGGCAGCGCTGGAACCGAGGAATTGGCTTCTCAATTGGCTGATTCCCTCCGATCAAAAGGCTACCTTGCCAGCTTGGATTAATTGTTGGCCTTTGATTACGTCCTGCCCGAAGCTATCACTACTGCTATGAAACAGGTCGGGCTACCACATGGTCTGGCAAATGTTCTTCAAGCACAATGGTCCAATCAAAAGCGGATCTTGCAATGGCGTCAGAGCTGCTACAAACACCCATTGCGCACACCCATGGCTATTCCCCAAGGAGATCCTATGTCTCCGCTTGCCCTCAACATCCTGATGTGGGCTGGCCAGCGGTATGTGGAGACACAGAGCCCTTGCACACCCGGTGACCCGCTCCATGTGGTCTACATGGATGATCGCGCGGGGACTAGCACCACCCCTCGGCTCCTGCTCCATACATTGGACACATGGCGCCAGTTTAGCGCAGCAGTTGGATTGAAAGAGAACATCGCCAAAACTCAGCTGACATATAGTACACCTGCTGCACGGCAAGCTCTTGAACAACAGCTCGTGAACCGGCCAGACCTTCAATCTTCCATCACTACTTCAGCATGTGTCCTAGGTTCTTGTACAACAGGGACTGCCCGACAACTCCATCCCAAAGAGCAGCAGCGCTTGGAGGAAGCAGGAAAACTTTGTGCCAAAATCCGTTTTCTCCCTACGGATTACCAACCGAAGTTGCATGCAGCTCGCTCCCTGGCAGTGAGCAAAGCAAGCTATGGATGGGTTGCCTTTACGCCTTCATTAGCTGAATTGGACAGGTTCACTGCTACAGTCCGAAGCACCAGCAGAGCTTCCAAACACCTGCGCCAGATGCTCTTTGGCGGGATTCGCAGTCTCGATGTCGTCATTGGGGTTAAGCAGGTGGCACTTTGGGGCAAAAGATTCTTGGCAGAACAGTGGAGTCCAGCTCAAAACGCCTCTAGCATCCTGGTGAGTTGGGATGGCGTCATCGAAGGGGCGGCTGGTGGAGGCACCCTGCCTTTGACTTCACCTCGCGTTTGCAGCAGTTTTCGGATTCCACGTTTAAGCACAAACTTGCCCACTGGCTGAGAGAAAGCTGGCGCCTTCTTCAGTGGGAACAAGTCACAGCCAGCACTAGACGGGATGCTCTGCCTTTCCGCAACCAGCCCTATGACATGGAACGGGTCACGGTGGTGCGCAAAATTCTCCAGAGAACCAGCGGCGCTACGGTGGCTATCTTGACTGGCAGTTTCGTCAGTCCTGCATGCTTTGCCAAGCGGAAGGATGTCTCAGCTCGGTGCCCTTTTTGCGCTGAAGAGGCTCAGGCAGATCTTCGACACCTCTTTTGGCAATGCAGAAAACGCCGCACACATGGGCGTCCTGTGAATGAATTGGAAGCTTGGTTTGGATGGCCCAGCCGCGGCCCAGCCATGAAAGTTGCCTCAGCAATCTCGAGGCCATGACCCTGACGGTGGAAGATGTCTGGCGACATCGGCATTCAGCCAAAGGGCGATGGACCCGTAAAGTATTCCGCCCAAAAGGTTTCCGTGCGAAAACTCTCAGCTCCAAGCGACAAAGGATCGTTTAACTGCCCCGCATCGGGGCCACAATGCTGCTGCCAGACGTTCATCTTTGAGTTGACCGGCTACAGCAGCTTAAAAACCGACATCTGATGACCGTCTGGGCGATGCTTTTGGTGGAAGTTGTTCACCCCGCGTTGCAGGACGTTAACAAGGAAAACGGGGCCCAAGTTGGCCCGCGGAGAAGTGTGTGCGCGGAAACGACGCGACCAGTGCGTTGAACGCGGGTCCCATTTCAATGGAGACTCTTGATTAATCCACCTCATTTGGATTGTAAAGCTTATGGGGGGTTGTGCTGTATGTATCTACAGTCTACATGAATCTTGAACGCCTATAAGGAAAAGAGGTGCGCACAATGAAGCATATGTCACCGCAGGCAGCTCAGGGTCCAGCTAGAGGTGGCTTTGGCAATTTGACTTCGCTCTCCGCATTCGATCCCTGCGTTGGTATTCGATCGATCCTTTGAGTGCGCGCCCACCCAACCTTGTCTCAGCAAAGTGCCCCAAGAGCTTCTCCTCACCCATGCCACCCACACAAACTCGCAAACCCTCGCGTCACACGTACGTTGACTTCATCGTTCACCTTTTGGGTCATCGCAGCGGGCGAGTCACTAGCAGCGTTCAAAACCTACGCGGTCTGGGGCTCCTATGACACCGCCTCCTGGTGGCTTTGGCGCGCCTTTGCGGGAGCCAGCCCTTCAATGGATGAGGCGGCGAAGAGCATCGCGCTCGAAAAGACAATTAAGCGCAGGAAAAGAAGATGCAAACTCCGTCGAAGAACGGAAGCAGCCACGGCAGCAGTAGTCTTCTCAGAGCAAAGCCCAAGAGGTTTGGGTGAGCAATTGTTGGGTAACTCCGCCAGACCGAAGAGTTAGTGTTGGTTTCCTGGTTCCAGGTACAGTCTATAAGTGCTAAAATAGTTAAGGATGAAAAGCACATACAACATATATATTATATAATATACGACAGGAAATTACAAATGGTGAATTACTTTTTAAGAATACACTTTTGTGACATCTTGCCGCATTTGTTTTTCAATAATACAGCCCGGAAAAACGACATTGCAAGCAATATTCAACGAAATGGCCACTTGATACGCATTGATGTGGGTGGGATGGGCAGCTGGCTCCCTTGTTTTTTGGAGCAGCCTCTAGCGGTTGTCGGGTGGCCTGACCACGTTTCGCTGGTTGTCAAAAGAATCATTGTGTTGGCAGAAGCGGGTTGTGACTTTTGCGCGAAGACACGAAGACACGCGAAGACACGAAGACACGCGAAGACACGCGAAGACACGCGAAGACACGCGAAGAC